GTTGTACACTCCATGCGTAAGACCCGGACAGGTGGGGAGGCTGACCCTCTCCTGGAGGGGACCCTGGACAATGGTGCAGCAAATCTCCTCCTGGACGGTGCTGATCAAGGGCGGAGAAAAATACTGAGAGATGGTGGTCAACATCTGCCGATTGCAGCCCTGGAGAGCCCCCCTCCCCCCCCCCCGGGGAGACGCCAACTGCACAGACACCTAGAGCCCGCAACACCCCCCTGCCTCCCATACCGAGGGGATTCGCCCCCCTCACGACCGATCCCCTGGGGAGCCCGGGCCCAATGGACAAGCAGCGGCAACGGCACCTAAACCCCACTGCCCCTGAGTTTGTTCCCCAGGCAGGTGACGCCAGAGGACAGGTGGAGCCCCTGGAGTCGCGGCAGAGACCCCCCCCCCCCCCCCGGGGCCTCGAGAGGCCAAGCCACCCCCAACTCGGCCAGCAATGAAAACCGGGCAGATCCCTCACTCCGCAGCGCTACCTGATTGGAGCGGCCAGGGCGAGGTGCTCCAGTCAGCTCGGGATAGGGACAGGCACCTCGGGTGGGCTATGTGATGCAACAGCATCGAAGCCTCTCCGCAGGCGCGCCGCCCCTCCCGCAACAATCGCACCCTGGCCCCCCCCCCCACCCTAGCCCCCGCTCCCCCATCCCTCCCCCTTCCCCCCACCCCCACCACGATTGAATACACTCGCACACACGTAGTGTCCTGATTGGGAGCTCCTGGACTAACAGTTAGATTTTACTCCAAGGATTCCTCTGAGGAATGTTCAACGGTTTCCCAATGCCAGAAATTTGGCTTGATCCAATAAGAGGAGTCTACATCGCAGTGCCCCTAAATTGGCTTAATGGTGTATGGGTGCAAAAATATTACCGGGTCAACTGCTATGAGTCATATATTCCTGAATACAGTGTCAGAGTGGGCCGGCGTGAAAAGTGCAGGAAAAGCATACAATAAGTCAGGGGAAGCTCAACGGTAACTGCGGTCCGTGTAAGTGGAAAAGCCCTGATGTGGCCACAGGTAGGCACACAATTGGCTGCGCAATATCATATGACCCAGATCCTTTTAACTCGGATATAAAAGGTGAGACCGGGGAACGAGGGAGCCATCTTGTCTCCTACATCTTTGCTGTGAATATCTCAGTCAGTCCTCCTCTCTTCGCCGCTCACAGCGTCCGTGCGACGGCAGTGACTGCAGCTACAAGGTACGAGGGAGGACGCTTGGGTGGGTAGGCAGCATTAGACGAGGTTTTTCTCGCAATACACTCCTCGGGTCATACCGACTAGACAGCTTACTTTCAAGCATTTGTTTGTGCCAAGAATACAGGTATTAGCAAGACGGTATACGGCATGGTATTTCTTGTTTTCATGTAAATCATGGGTTGCGTGTGTGTGCGAGAATCGTCTGGAGTGGGCCGCGCAGCCTAACGCCCAGAGTCCGCACATTGGCCCGTGCGGTCTGGCCCTGGGGTGGTGTGCACAGTGGTGCGAGTGTGAATGAGGTGCGAGTGAGGACCCACGCGGGGACAGGTGATAACGACCCGCATTTGGGGTGCATCTCCCGCAGAGCATTATCTGCTGCACGTTCATGCCGAGCCTTTGTGCTGACCATCGCGTGTCTCGCACGAAATATTGGTATTATTGGTCACGCTATTCGCGCCGAGTCTGTGTAATATTCGCCGTTGCGCATTGGGTAAATCTGCGTCAGTGTGTGAGTGCACCGCCGGGGAAGTTAACCCAACGCGCCGCGCCAAGGGTGACGGAAGAGCAGTGTCCTCCCCTAGCGAGCACAACGCTAGGATGTCCATTACCCATGCATCGCGCACAAAACAAGCGCAACGCCCCGCTCCAGAGTCGGACGGGGAGGGGAGCTTGGGGTCGAGATCGTCCCACGAGGATGAAGTGGTAGATGGAGCCCGGGGCACCAGGGCTCGCAGCTGAGTCAGACATGGAGCCCCACACACCCTCTTCCTGCGCCATGCCCGACCTTCATTTGTGCTACTTGCTAATAGCACTTGCTCCAACATTCTGTTAAAGGTCTATGGAGATCTTTGCATTTATATAATTAATGTTTTGTGAACATACCACGGGGCGTGTTTGTAGACACGTGTGTGCGCATATGAACGTGTAAAGTTCATTTTAGTCGATCTACTGCTGGATGAGGGCCTCCACATGTCGTGCGGTGGGTGGGGAGGTTATCCGAGCCACGTTACACCCTGCTGGTCAGCACTGTGGGTTGGTGAATGCGCGATCACAGCAAGGCCCAGCAGCAATGGGATTGGCTGCTGATGCCCCCACTACGAAATCTCGCCGTGGACGACAGCCTACGGCCCCTGCGCTACCTCAACAGGCTCCACAATGATGATGATCCATAACCAGCCAGCAGTGGCACGGTGCACTGGCCCCGCTATCAGCCATACTTCTCTCTTCTTGCTTCTCCAGCTTGTCACATTCCAAACCTGACTCCTGTCCAGGCCCACCATGGGTGCTGAAACACAAATAAAGCCCGTCTAACCTTCAACAATACTTTCCTAAGAACCCACAATCTACACTCATGACTGCTAATTCTACTTACGGCTCAGGAAGTCTCCCTTGCCCAGAGTCCAGTCCACTGCTCCTGGCTTGAAGCCCTGCATCCTCCAGGGCTGTGTGGGTTACTGAGGTGCTGAGAGATATGAATGGCTCCTGCCTCATTCGCTCTGAGCACTGCCTTTTATACTACTCAGGGGCACACAAACCCCATCAACCCTACCTAGACTGGTCCCAAAACTGGTCATTCCGCCTATATCGCTTAGCCAGTTTCAACCTCAATATCCTAGCCCATAGTGTATATTGTTCACCCTCTATGTCCATTTATCTATGGGAAACAGATCGTGCAGAGCCTTCGTCACAAAGTAAAAACATCGTTAAATGTTAAAAACTTATTTTATACTAACTCATAACCCAATGTCTATGCTCCTCACCTTTCAACACGCACTGACCAATGAGGTGAAGTTTGGCTAACTCCCACAGTCCATGCATTAGGGGTCCGGCCGTCACTCAACAGTCAATGTCATGACTTCACTGATGCACTTTGGTGGCCGTAATTCAACGCTCAAAGTAATATGATACCTTGGCTACGTGATGCACTTGTGCACATGTGTAACCATAACCTCTAACTCCTAAACCCTAACCCAGGGCTGCAGGTGAAAATTGTACAAATATACTAAACAAAATATACAGTTTACAAATTATTTATTTCAAGGTTGGCAATGATAGAATATCTATACATTTGATGAAATAACCCAAAACGTACTAATCATACTCTGAGAAATAAATCTATGGGTTCAATCTGACAATAAACTTTAGCATTAATTTTATGCCCTTTTCATGAAAAGCAAACTTTAATACACAAGTGGATGAAATGATAATACAATAAAGAAAACGTCTACAGAAAAAAACAATTATATGTAAAACTCATGCTAGGGTAAGGACTACAATTATCATCATATTGAAAGTGTTTCCTTTCAGAGTAAACAAAATACATATATTAAAATAGTTTACAGTTCAGATATAGCAGCAGTCGAGTAGCAGCTCTGAAGGTCAAACTCTGATCACACTAAAACAAAGCATTATGCAAGAATAGAACAAAGCACAGCATATGGTATCAATATGCATGTTCCAGGTAGCAAACGTGATTGTATTGATTAAATAATTCTCTGTATTTTGATAAATGGTATTTCTATGATTACCAATGCTAAGTATTTCAAGACTGGTATTTATTTATAATCACTGCTCCAAGAGTATCTGCATACTTACTCTTTGGTTCTTTCGGTAAAGTCACTTAGGTAGAAATAAAATAAAACAAATCACGACGTTTCCATCGCAACACAGGCAATCTTCATCAGGTGGAACAACCACAGCAAGAAAATGCTGAAGTAGGCGAGAGAGCTGCCGTGGCAAGAGGTTATATATGTTGTGTGTGTCTCTCTGTGTGTCTCTGTGTTGTCTCTCTCTGCTTGTGTGTCTGTCCGTGTGTCTCCGTGTCTGTGTTTTGTCTCTCTCAAATTTAGTTATACCTGATGACGGTTGCTTGTGTTGCAATCGAAACGTCGTATTCTATTATTTAATTTATTTTCTTTCTACGTGACTTTACCGAAAGAACCAAAGAGTAATTCCTGCAGTCACGAAAGATCCAAATCAAGTTTTAACCACCACTACAGGGAGGATGTAAGTTTGTTTTATCTCTCTCTGTGTGTCTGAGGATGTAAGTTTGATTTATCTCTCTCTGTGTCTCTGTTTGTCAAATTTCACACAACTTCAAATTTAGCAATCTTTGGAGATCATAATCAACCAGGCTATGCGTTATCTGTGTTGCATTGCATTACATTTCAAAAAATTTCTAAGTTTGTTTTCTCAAACGGCTTATTTCTCTCTCTAAAATGTACCAGGCTCTCATAGGCCCATTCGCTCTTTCTCTCCCCCGGCCGCTTCGGGGTGGATTTCCACACATCTCTCTGTGTGTCTCTGTCAAATTCCACACTTAACTTCTAATTTTAGCAATCTTTGGAGATCGTAATCAAACAGGCTATGCGTTAATTGTATGTTAGCCGACTCTCTGTGTTGCATTGCATTATATTTCCCCAAAATTTGTTAAATTTTGTTTTCTCAAACTGCCTATTTCTCTCTCTAAAATTTACCAGACTCTCATAGGTCCATTCGCTCTTTCTCTCGCTTTGGGGTGGATTTACACACAACTCTCTCTAAAATGTACTAGTCTGTTTGGGTCTTTCATTGACATGCTAATTTATCTGCTCCAGCAGCTGCTCCAGCAGACCCACCTTTCTCTCTGCCCCACCCCCCTCTCTCTCTATTTAAGGCCTCGACACAGAGGCATTGGGTCTCTGTGTGTCTATGTTGTGTGTTTCTCTGTGTGTCTCTGTGTTGTCTCTCTCTGCTTGTGTGTCTGTGTGTCTCCATGTCTGTGTTTTGTCTCTCTCTCAAATTTAGTTCTACCTGAAGATGGTTGCTTCTGTTGCAATCGAAACGCCGTATTCTATTATTTTATTTACTTTCTTTCTACGTGACTTTACAGAAAGAACCAGAGTAATTCCTGCAGTCACGAAAGCCTCAAATCTCGTATCTGCATATATGCAGTTACCAGTGCTATGTCAAAAATGTGTCAAATGTGAATATAGCCAGAAGGCATTTAGATGTATGTGTTATCTCATAACTATTTGCTGAATATTAAAATCAGAAACCGACCTTATTTGCAACAATGCAAGTGTACACACTTTACATATTAAATGTATTGTAACATATTTCACGATGTATTGTAAGATGTGTTATATCGAATGTGTCCTTTGTTGTGCTACACGTAAGAGTGGTTGATGATGAAATATTTGCGAGAATTTCTGAGTGTGACCTGTTGGTGTTCAGAGATGCTGGCAGTTGAAGAAAATGGTTGCAGGTTATATCTACAAATTGGGAGGCCAATAAATGGAAGACAATCCTTCAGCTGCTTCTTGTGGGCCAAGGATGGGAGGTGTGCTAAACAAACACAAATACAAGGTACAGTATTAATTTTCCTCACAAAACATAGCTAAACAAATGCATCACATGCTAACATGTTATTAATTTTAACGTGTAATTTAAGGTATGATATTACGCAATACATTATATGTCTGTTTTAACTATGGAGAACCTGGAGCAAACCATGCAGAACAGGGGGAGAAGATACAAACTCCACACCGAAAGGCACCCAAGTTAATCAAACTCAGGTAGTCTTACTGTGAGGCAGAAGTGTCACCACTGTGGCATCCTGCCGCCCAATTCTAGATGCTTATCTCATCCAATCCACAGTCTCCTTACTGTGTGAGATGAACAACTCATCCATCACCTTGGTTGGGTGGTTCGATAAGGAGGCTCTGCGGGCTCTGCCGACGGCTCTGGATGACGACTCCCTGGCGGCATTTGAGGCCATCCTGGCGGCGGATCGAGCGACTCTGCCTTGGGCGTGCACTCAGATGGCCGCCATTTTTGACCTGCCATCCAACTCATGCCAAAGATTTGTGTTACGGAGGCGGGGAGAGGCCGAGACGCCTCTCGCCTTCCACAGCGCGCTGCTGACCTTGGGCCATGCAGCATATCCACGCATGGAACAGACGACGCTGGATTCCCTAGTACTGGAAAGATTGCTGTCGCTGGCACAGGAAGTGGGCGTCGCTCTTCCCATCACGGAAGAGGACGACCTGTCATCCTTAAAGGTGGCCCGCTGCATCCAAGCGCATGTCAACCTGCAGCAGTGGTCCGGGGTGGCTACTTGCGGGGGGCCTGAGGATCCGGAGGAGCCTGCGCCATAGGAACTGGAGCGCCTTCGCGTCGTCCACTCGGGAGAGGAGTTGAGGGGCGACGACCGGAGCAGGAGTGGCGGGAGGTCCACGACCGCCTGCTTCAAGCTGGGTCACAGCGCACGAGCAACGGACTCCAGCGTCAGATGGGTGGCCGCATGGCGCAAGGCAATGGAGTGTGTTGGCGCACCGTGTCATGATGGCTGCAGCGGGGTCGTCCGCGGTGTTGGCTTTATTCAGGGGATAGAGGTAAGGGTCCTGGTCGACACGGGAGCATCGGCCACCATGATTTCGGGGCGTATTATGAAATTGTTGTCACCAAGGACCTGTTGTCTTAGCCCAGTCACTAGTGCTTGTGTTGCCGCGAACGGTGGGAGTTTGGAGATTATAGGCCAAAGAGTGGCGAAAGTCCCCATTGGGAACTTTGAGTTAATGGGACCGGTGTTAGTTTCCAGGACGTTGGCTGTGCCCTGTCTTTTGGGCACCGTTTTCCTCAGGAACATGCCCCTTAAGATCCTTGTCAATCAAGGCTGTGTTGAATTGCCGTCGGGACAGCGGTTAGTCTTTTTGAAGTCTCCAACTAGGTTAGCAAGGGCTAACACTACAGTTCAGGCCCTGGCGAGGGAAACTGTTATGGATCCGCCAGGTGCACAGATGTTGGTGCACTTACGGTGGCGGAAGCAACTGGATTTGACAGATCCCGTTGAAGGGGTCCTTTTAACTCCCTCAAATATAGTGACTCAGGGGCTCGCATTGGTGGGTGCTCAGACCATAGTGAGGGTGGACCAGGAGCCATTTTTGCAAGTGCTAAATGTCGGGCTAGGGGCCGCGGTGGTCCAAGCTGGCACAGTTTTAGCCCATGCAACGGCCATGCACTGTGAGGAGGTCTGCACGGAGGCTGTAGAGGTCGTTGCCGTGGTGGAGCAGGCAGGCGAGTCGGACGGGGCTTGGATGGACGCGTTGTGCGGGGAAAATTCCAATTTGTCCAGGCAAGAGCGGGGCGAGCTGTGTGCCCTGCTTCGGGAATTTGCCGATATTTTTAGCCAGGGGAAATTTGATATTGGCCGCACTTCACTATTGCAACATCGCATTGATATGGATCAGTCCCAGGGAGAAGGACCATGTTCGCCATGCAGTTGACGAGATGTTAGCTGCAAACATTATTTCCCCTACTCTATCCAGCCCGTGGGGGGCCCCCATTGTTATGTAAAAAAAAACAGGATGGGAGTCTGCGCTTTTGCGTTGACTTCTGAAAATTGAATACAATTTCGGTGGTGAACGCGTATCCACTCCCTCAGATGGATAACTCCTTGGACGCCTTGTCGGGTGCGCGTTTTTTTCGACCCTTGACTTGTTGTTGGGGTTTTGGCAGCTGCCCTTGGATGAAAAATCCAGGCCAAAACCATCTTCCGAACATCACAAGGGCTGTTCCAATTTAATTGCTTGTGGAATTTGTCTTGGCAGGTTTTTAGTGGGACTTGTGCCTCATTTACCTGGACGATGTTATTGTGTTTGGGCGCACGTTTCAGGAACATCTGTAGCGACAGCGTCCAGTGTTTGTCAAGGTGCGGGTGGCCAATCTCAAATTTAAACCGTAAAAGTGCCATCTCTTGCAAACGTCGGTGGCTATTTGGGCCACATTGTCAGTGAGTCCGGGATAGCCACGGATACCGAAAAAACTGCGTGCATGCGCACATGGCCAACCCCCGCATCGGTGGGTGAAGTTCGCAGTTTTGTCGGGTTCGCGTCGTATTATTGCCAGTTTGTCCCCAAGTTCGCGATGATCGCTAAACCGCTCCACGCGCTCACTGCCAAGGGCCAGAGATTTCGGTGGGGGGAGGAGGCCGCATTTGTCGCGCTGCGCGATGGCCTCGTCAACGCTCCTCCCCTCGGCTACCCGGATTTCTCTCTGCTCATTGTGTTAGACACGAACGCTAACTGCACCGGAAATGGTGCTGTACTGTCCCAGGTCGTGGACGGCACAGAGAAAGTAGTGGCCTATGGGAGCCGTGTGTTGTCCCCAGCGCTACCGCGTGACGCGCAGAGAACTGCTAGCCATAGTTCACTTTATACAGCAATATAGGCTGTATCTTTATGGACAGGACTTTATCATACCTACAGACCACGCGGCTTTTCAATATTCCCTATGGCTGGACAGCCTTCCGGCCAACTGTCTCGCTGGCTAGAAATTTTACAGGACTACTCCTTCACAGTCACCTACAGGAAGGGTGTACGGCACTGCAATGCAGATGCGCTGTCCCTTTTACCACCGAATGACCAGTGTGCGTGCTTAATGGGAACCGGTCAATGTAATCCATCAGCTGCAGGATGTAGTGGCGGCTGTCAATGCACCAGCACCCGCGGCAGGGGCACAGTGATGGCACATTGGGTCTTATGCACGTGGAATGGGGATGTCTCCAGATGGAGGACGTCTCCTTTTTGAAGTTGCAACGTCGCGTTGGTGCAAGAGGCAGTAAAAACGTGCCAGCAGGAGTGTCCCTTATAGTCCTCCATGAAGGACTCTTGGTGAGATGGGATGAAGAGCTGCAGCGTTATTGCATGGAGGTGCCAACTGCTCTGCAGGGCAAACTCACACGGGCGGTCCACGAGAAATGAATGCACCTCAGAGTCCATAAAACCTTGCTAACGCTGAAGCGTGACTTCTATTGGCCCGGGATGATGGACGATGTATACCACATGGTAAAAGGTTGTACTGACTGTGCACGCCGCAAGCCACCACTGAGACAGGCCCAGCCTCCGTTACAATCTATCACGGTGTCTCGTATCAACGAGCTAGTTGCTCTGGACATTCTTGGGCCATTCCCCGCCACTCAGAATGGAAATAAATTCCTCCTGTTCGTGGTGGAATACCTGTCCCAGTGGCCGGTGGCATGGCCTCTGCCAGACCATCCATTGCATACGTGTTTTTGCATGGGTATGTTCTGGACAAGGGGGCTCCGGAACAGCTTCTTACGGACCAAGGGCGAAATTTTTATTGTAAATTGTTACGGAAGGTGTGTGACTCCCTGCGAACAAAAAAATCAGGACCTCGCCCTACCATCCTCAGATAGACGGGATGGTAGAGCGCTTGCACAGGACCCTTATGTCCATGTTGTCAATAATTTAACGAGGCGCAGTCGGACTGGGACTTCCCGGTGTCCTGGCCGCATATAGGATGGCCCCTAATGCCGCAACAGGATTCTCCTTGTTTTACCTCTTGTATGGAAGGGAGATGGATCCCCCATGGAAGCTCAGCTGGGCATAAATTTGGGTAAGAAGAGAGCCGTCATGCCCGTGCCCATGCAGGTCACGCCTAGGTGTTTGACGGAGGCGCGGGAGGCGTCTCAGGGAAATTTGACCAAACGGCAGGCCGCAAATGAGAAGCTCGTGGACAACGGGGGTCCGGGACCCCATGGACCGCTGGGGACAAGGTGTGGCTGCATTGTCCCCAGATGCCCTTGGGTTCATCCCCTGTTGGGGTGATTGAGGTCAAGAGACCGCAGTGCATGCGTATACAGGTCAGTCGCCGTCGTTGGTTTGTGCACTTGTCACGGTTAAAACCCTATGTTCCACCCTATGTTGACAGTTCATCCGCACCTCCCGAGCGGCGGGTGTCTGATGTGCCCGACGAGCCGGGGCGAATGAGCCCAGCAGTTGCGCTTCAGGAGGATTGCGTTGTACCGCCCGCAGGACCCCAGCACGGAGATCCCCCGACGGCGCCTCCGTGTGATGGACCACGTGTGGAGGCCTGGTCACCATCTTCTTCTCCCAGGGAGGGGCCATGCCCTTTAGGCCATTTGTGTGATGTCCCGGTGGTCCCCAGCATGCAAGTTCCTGCTCGAGATGGGGGACCGGCGTCCAGGACTTGCTCCAAGAGGGCTTTGTTTTGCTGAACCGCTCCCTTCCCGTCGTTCAATTGTGTTCCGTCGTCTGGCGGGTGGCTGCAGCCACGTGCCGGGCTGTGGCTTCTGATTCACCTGGGGTCCTTCTCGTTGCTCATGGACTGCGGCACGCCAGCGGATGTCAGAAATTGTTCACTTCCCTTGCGGTTTCGGGGTTAATAGTTAAAGGGGTTTTTTTTCTGACGTTCATTAACCCTCCCTGTTAGGTAAATTGCATTAGCACATTCTTGTAAGTTTTCCTCCTCTCCGTATGTGATTATTGTCAGCCGAGACGGCTGTTTTTTTTCCCACGGGGGGGAGGGGTGATGTAGTGGTATAGCGCTGGCTGCTGGAGAAAAAGGGGATCTGTGGCGTACGGCAGTCCTGCCGTCAGCAGGCCGTGATATACACGAGAGGGGGATCTAGGGGAAAGGTCACAGAAGAGGCCCACCAGCAACCCGCTAGTAGGTTCCAGAAAGGGGGCATGGCCAGGGCGGAGCAAGGCCGCCGACAATAGACAGCCTTAATACATATTGTATTATCCCGATGGTGCTTATTAAATAAAGAAGTGCCTTCAAGTCTTACTCTCTCCAAGTTAGTCACTACACATGTTACAAACACCACAATTGTTTAATCCATAGTAGATCTTTTAGAATTTGAACACGGGTTCTAAGTTAAGATTCTTCATTATTCCAATAGAGTATTTTAGCATTTATTTCCTGATTAACAGTATAGAAGCAGAATCATAAGAGTGTATGTTACAGGTTTTAATAGGACATGTGATAGCCATACCTTCAGAGTGGCATTGTCTGCTCCTGACTTGAGTCTCCCCTAACCGAACCAGAGCCCGAGAACTATGAACAAATGTAAACAAAGCATTATTTGAAAAATGTCTGTCTTTACAAGGCAAGGCACACACTCAAACAAATGTTTCTTATTGGTTGTTAATAATTTCCTGTTCAAATACAGTACATCAGCAGTTACATGTAAATACTTTCACATATTATTTAAAACCAAAATTTAAACATGTACTTTGCCACATGCACACCATTTTTTGGTGCATTGCAGTCAAATGACGTTGTGCTGGTGATAACCAGGTTCATCAGGCGAATTGCGATAATTCTGGAAAAACCTCATGGTACTCAAATTGTAAATATTTTGGGTTGACTCTCCAACACACCGGTGTGCTGAACTAGTAAATAATTGGCACGTTTTGTTTACGTGACAAACCTTACTAATTGACTGTGGGTGGAGGCGGGTTTAACGACACATTTATATTTACGCGATCTAACCCAAAAAAAAACTTTATATGGAGGTGGAACAACCTGACTGACGATGGCGTCGCAACTACCAAGGCACTGTTTATGGTCGCGTGGGTGTTGAACACGAGATCAATCAAGGGTCATGGTGTCCCTACATGGAGCGCCACAAACTTGGACTCTTGGTATACAAGTAACAACACTCCAGTGCTAATAGCGACACACACACACATCTGAATTTCGTGGGACGTTGTTGAGATAAGTGTTTTGGTGTATTTTCTTTGATATTAAGTGAATAGTGTACAGTACTAAAAAAACTGCAATCACCCGTGGTGTCTAATCTGTCACCAATACAAAGATAAGCTACTCTGCCTTACAACAAATTCTCCCAGTGAATTTAATTTCCCTGTATGTGACAGAAAGAACATGTTTATTTATATGTAAGTGACTATGCAAACTATGTGTTGCACGTGACACACTTTTGTGGATTTATATTTTGATTAATGTGAAACTAGACTTGTTATATGTTAAGTGGAATTTTGTAAAATTTTAATTTGTGTTGTTAGAGATGTTGGGATGCAACTGGACACTTTAATAGGCAACGTATAACACTTTTACTAAACGTATAATTTTTTTATAATTATTTATATTTAGGGAGAATACCTTTTAATTTTTGGCAGAACCAAAACAGTGTTTTTCATAATCTGTGCATAAGCCAAGCAAGGGGTCACATCTGATGCAAACAGCAGCTCTTTCTCCAGCTGGGCAGCGCAGTAGAGGTTTACTGTCTCCATTGAAACATAGAACTCTTGCGATGTTCCCAGAACAACCGGTGTATTAGGCAGCCTTGTTCCCTGACATGCGACAGGTACAGGATCGAAAACACCACCAAGCTTCAGAAGCTCAACAATACCAATATATTTCGATTTAAAGCTTTCGTGACTGCAATGATTCATCTTCTTTGGTTCTTTCGGTAAAGTCACGGGACTCGATTAGTTGAGCCTTCTTATCCCGGAGTCTGTTGAATGATCTTAAGGATGTGTGGAATCCCTCCCCATAGAGGCGGTTAAATTTCGATTTAAAGCTTTCGTGACTGCAATGATTCATCTTCTTTGGTTCTTTCGAAACCAAAGAAGAATACCAATATAGACACATATCATGTCGAAATAGCCATTTTGTAATACAGGTAATTATCCATAAAACAAAAAAGGAAGTTGACCTGAAATAGCAATACACTGTGTTATACCATTGCATTTTATTCACACATATTAGCTGTTGCTGATATGCGATGTATTACATTTTAATGCACTTTATTACATTTTAATGCACTTTATAACATTTCAGGAGTTGGAGATGCCCGCAGTAGTGTATGGTGAAAGCTTGAGAGAGGAAATGCTGAAAATGTGGCTTAACATTTCATACCTGAAAATGCATAATACATCGGTCTACCCATGCCATGCAGATCCTTTGTAAATCCTGTTTGGTAAAGTCATCTCTGGACCAAAGATTCCAGGATATCATCTCCTTGGCAAAGTAGGCATGTGGGTCACGTAGCCCTGCTTGATTCAGCATAGTCCACACCACCTTCCTAAAAGAACAGTGGGTAATAATCAAAAGAGAGATCATGGGATACTCTGGACAGCAGCAGCATCTCCATAAAGTCATTATATTGGGTCTTACACTCCAGAAATTATTTTAACAAAGTACTGTAATTTCAAAGACAAAATTAATTATATCACCATCGTTAAGCTGTATATCCAGTTGTAATCTAGGACAATTATAAGGATATTGTAAATGAAAAATTTTCAACATCATATATAAGGGTGTTTGGAGCCTCCCTCTCGGAAGTGAACGAGCCAAGTAGTTGATGATATAAGCCCCAGATTTAATCTGCATCTGACTAACGGATCATCCCACTGTGTCAAAGTACGGACTCAGTCCCAAGTGAAGTCATCAAATCAAGTGGCTAATTCATGTTTAATATCCCTGCCAATTATACTTTAATGTGTTAGCTTCAAATTGAATGGATTGCTTTAAAACATTCAGTTTGTGTATTCATTGCTTTTGATTAACATTACATGCAATGAAGAACAATAAAGAATGTTGGGCACTAAGAGCAGATTTATTTGTGTAGACACTTGCATTTTGCATACCTGAAATTATCATCAGCTTGAAGAAACTGCACCATAAACTCAGTCAAAAGTTCTTTACTCCGAAACCCAAAAGTGAGTAGTGTTTGTAATGTTGTCTGGATGAATGCACGTTGCTCATCCACCTATTGATATAAAATATCACAGCAATAAAGTGAAATCAGCCACGCAATCCTCACAAGTTATATTAGCATTCATGACATCACTTTGTATTTTAGACATGCCAATAAGGATTAAATATTGTATTTATATGAAATGTGACTCGTATATTTGTGGAGGTGAAAGTAAAAGTAATGAACACTTTCTATCAAAATGGTAAAAAGAAAAGTTGTATCTCTGAATCTTCTTGCTATTGTGATGTACACCCTCCTCCACCTAACATAGACAATGTCATGTAAACAAACGTGCCAATTTATTACTGCTTCAGCACACCAATGTTGGGATCTCTCCACAACATTTCACAATTGGATACAACTTTTGGCTGGTAGCTACAACAAACATCATCAGGCAGTTGCCAGAATAGTGAAAATGTTCTCCAGTCTTGGGGCCTTAAATAGGTAGTGTGATGTCATCAGTGTGCACCCACAAAGGTGCAGGAAGTGGACGCATGTAATACCTAGAGTTACAAGTGTAAGGATAGTGGGGGGTGATGTAGGGACAGTACGGCCATGGTTACTAATTAACGTAACGGGAACAGACAGGGTCACGTTAGGGTAATGTGGGACCCAAGTGGTTGCTAATAATGATTGATGCAACAAGCATTGACAGGGTCGCAGTGAGGGGAAGCACAGGACCGAACGGTCGTAAATTGTAATAAGGGCAGAGACAGTCAGGGCCAGGTGCGGTGAGAGTGGGTTCGGGTATAGGGGCGTGGCCGGGTCGTGAGGGGGATAAGAGCCGGCGCGAACCGGGGCGTTGGGCTGCTGTTGTGGGGTAATTGTCGTCGCCGTCGTCACCTTTGAACAGGTGGTCATCATCATGCTGGAGTGTAACCTTGTAGTCTTGGAAGGCTAGAGTTATGTTGTCTCAGAATAGAGTTATCTAAGTTACCCAAGTGTATATAGTCACTCGTGGTTACTCGTTAAGTTATCAGTGAGTTGGCAGACTTTATTCATAATAAATAAACATATAACTGAACAAGACGGTGTTTCTGAGAGCTACATTACACAAGTATTAATAAAAATCATGTTATTATTTTAATGTGTTACTATAAAGATGTATATTTACATGGTGAAACAGGTTATTCATAGTTATACACAATGGTTACATTCTAATGAATTATGTTAGATGTGTTAATGAGGTGCACATATTTACATGGTTATACAGGTTAGTCACATTTAATTAGTTATACTAAATGGTTAGTCATGTTTGTATGTTGTGTTAGCTTCAATTAATGTAAATACACTGTTCTCATGAGGTTATTTAATTACTTAATCATGCGTTTCCAAGCCTGCTGAAGCTATCAGCTCAGTTTAAATAAGATTTCTCTCAATTTCAATACATTTTCTAGTCTTGGTCAATAGTAATTAGTTTTGCATAGAAAATCTATGTTTTCAATATTGATCAAATGTCCTTGTTGGCAGGCGAGTACCGCAACTGCCGACAATTGTGTTTGTGAGTATTTGATGTTCCCATGGTATTCTTTTAGTGTGTATCTTCCGTCTGTATGGCCAACATACCATTGCTACAAGTACTTTTGCTACAAGTACCATTTGCTACAAATCCATAAAATATTTTTTGCGTTAGTTTTGGTAAAGTTCATCCTTGGTCCCACAATTGTTGTATTTTGAGTACTGAACCAAATTTCAGAGTTTTAGTTTTCCCAAAAATCTAACAAAGTTATCAGTTACTCCCACAATATATGGGAATGTAATTATCTTCGCTGCATGTTTAAGTTAATCATTTGTATTACCCGCTTTGTTTTTAACAATCAGTGTCCTGTTATTTTTTGAATTCTTGTATAAATTCAAATACACACTTTTTTTACATGTTTAATCATACACCTCAGAAATGTCTTCATCTGACAGTGTTTTGCCCAAAGTGTATGAGTAACTTGTTGAGGGAGGATATTTGTTGTGGATGATGGTGCAAGTGTGCATTCAGATAGGCATCGATGTGCATTTTATTTCGATAAAAGTGAAGTTTTCATTTGAATTAAAACTTTAATGACTGCAGGAATTCATATTATTTGGTTCTTTCTGTAAAGTCACGTAGATAGAAAATAAATAATTTAAAGACATCTCACTGTCCCCAGGTGATTTGCTCGTTAGTTTCGATGTGGTTTCTTTGTTCACCAAAGTTCCTGTGCCCGATACCATTGCAATCATTGAAGATTTGGTCTGACAAGGATTAAATGCTGATGTACCGGCCCTGGTGAGACACTACCCCACCAATACATACTTCACCTGGAATGGAACATTTTACAAACAAACTTAAGACACCCCAATGGATTCTCCCTTATCTCCGGTTGTAGCCAACATTTTCATGGAAAAATTTGAGACGGACACCATCCAGACATCCACTCTACGTCCATCCTTGTGGAAGAGGTACGTGGATGACACGTTTGTCATCTGGCCACATGGCCGACCGGCTCTGAATCAATTCCTCAACCACATCAATTCCATACACCCAGCCATAAAATGCACCATGGAGGTAAAAAAGGAAGGCATGCTACCTTTCTTGGATGTCTTAATCAAAAAGAGACCAGATGGCTCAATGAGCCATTCTATCTACAGGAAAGTAACCCATACTGACGCCTACCTAAAACCTGATTCTGACCACCATCCATCCCAGAAGAATTCCCTCATCAAAACACTACACCATAGAGCTCAATGTATCTCTGACCATGAACACCTAACCAGTCAACTCAAACACGTACACCAAGCTCTCAAGGCGAATGGATATTGACTACACAATCCGCAAAGCCATCACCCCAACCATGAGGAAGGAACCATCTCAGGATCCAATCAAAACCATCACCTTGCCACACATAGGGGTAACCAAAAATATTTCCAAAATCATGAACAAACAAGATCCAGGTCGGATTTAACATGGTACATAAAATGTATGATCTGATCCCATCTGTGAAGGACAAGATTCCTGACATGCAATATCCCGGTGTCAACAAACTAAGCTGTATCTGCGGCAGCAGTTACATTGGGGAAACTAAGCGAAATGTCTCGCACCGTGTTCGTGAACATAAGGCAGATTTGAAACATGGTAGGACCAATACTTCTGCCGTAGCTGATCATTATTTTAATGTGGCTGGCTCACGCGAAATTTATTTCTCTAAAACGATGGTACTTTTCAAGCCTACTGGCTATCAACAAATATTCGTTCATGAAACCATCCACGTAGACCAGACACAATTTCAACCGAGAAGACGGTTATAAACCCAGCATTCATTGGAAAGATGTCTTCAACCACTTTGGGTCATGACTTGATTTGTAATTTCTTGTCAACCTCCACCATCAGCAGTGTGGAGCGAGGTGCAATGCCCCCCCCCACCCATCTCTACCCCCCCTCTCTCTCCCCCTATCTCTACCTCCTCTCTTCCCCTATCTCTCCCCCCTCTCTCTCCCTTTCTCTACACCCCCCCCCCCATCTATACCCCCCTCTCTCTCCTATCTCTACCCCCTCTCTCTCCCCCTATCTCTGCCCCTTCTCTCTGCCCCTTTGTCTTCTACATTAACTGGCAAAACGTCATACTCAGATTGTAAATGTTGTGGCTTGGCTCTCCAACACACAGTGTGCTGTACTAGTGACGAATTGGCATGTTCTGTTTACGTGACAACCCTTACTAGTTGGCTGTCGGGCGGTGGTGGGTTTTAACGACACATTTATATATTTACACGATTTAACAAAAAAAAACTTATGGTTGATATTGGTCGCGAAATCCTAGGTGTTAAACTGATCTATGAAAGTGTTGTCGGTCAATTAATGATGAGTGTTTACATTTGGGATGAAACATGGGCACTCAGAGAAAACCCACGCGCGTGAGGGGGAAACGATCCCATACGGGTGTAACATCTCAACGCCTATGGGAAGGAAGTTTTACGATGTTTGTGTGATCCGCCAACCCTCACCTACAGTGCTGGATTACAAGCATGCATCACCACCACGTAGAAGTCATTCTATATTTATACCACGAGTGTGTCGTCCACATATTTAATCCAATTAGAGGGTTGTATTGTACTTGGAAGTGAAAATTTTACTACCAAAGTTTCCATGTATATATAATGATCAATAATATAAGACAGGGGATAACCAATTCCTGCTCCTTGCTTTTGCATGTAAAAATCTCCTTTCTAGAGAAAATGTGTTATTTAAGCAGAGTTGAGCCAATTGTGAGTATCTTAATTGACCCACTAATTGGGACGTTGGTGAATACAGACATTTAAAAAAAGGAACAAATTCTCATTTTACTCACACGATCTGACCTTTTTTTAATTAATTATAATATTGGTCGCAAAAGCCTACGTGTTAACTTTCATCTATAAGTAAAACATATGTAATGCACGAGTAGAGCATACCTTGCAGTTGGGTGGTATTTCCGCATTGAGAACAGCATACAATCTGTTACATATTTCAGTCAGAGAGCCTTGTTTTTCTTGGAAATATAGTTTCTGGATAGCATTTACCAGATCCGTCTTACTGCTATAGTCTGCAGTTACGAGCAGTTGCAACAGCAGTGCAAGAAAGCCACCTGGAGTTTGTGCCGTTGGCAAGTTCTGCATAAACACGCAACACACAACTTGTAAAGGTGGGTTTGCAATCTGTACCACTGATTAACCAGAATACATTCACATGTTTAACGTAGAATAGAACTAGGAGAGCATAGTAAGAGTTGGTATTATTGCCTTCAGTCAGTGGTAGATGGACAAAGGGCTGGGTGACTCCTATCTGTGAAAAACTCTTATAATAGGAAGATGTGGTGTGAGGTGCCACAGTGTAGTGTTGTGGCATAGTGTAGTATTGTAGTGTCTGACAGACTACACTAAAGATGTAAGTCTCAGATACGAAACTTCACATAACGCCGAGATGGGCAGAAAAGTTTAATCAACAAAAGCATGTGTGGTAAGATAATTATCAACAAACATATATAAAGAATACGGACAGTCCCCGAGTTGCAGAAGACCCGGCTTACGGAAATCTGACCTTACAGAAATGCTCCCATAAAATAATGTTAAATAAAATTAATATGCGGAAATGTTTGCCTTAGTTACGTAAGCAAAAGTAGTGCAGCGCGGTGAGGATGCGGATGAATAGTGCAGAGCGAGGGTAGCGTTACATAATCCTTTTTCTTTTGTAGAATTACGTAATTTTAGTTTGAAATGCTTAGAATTATATTTTTTTCGCCATGTTTCTATTGCTAGTTTTATTCATTTTACTTTTATTTCATGAGTTATTTACTGTATGTACTTTATTTAACACAATCACACTTAGATTGCTTATGGTCTCAGCCAACTGCGATCAGAGAAGTCTAGGCTTAGACCAAAGCACGACAAGCGAACATTCCGAACAATTAAAATGTTTCGTGGTATTAATAATTTCATTCACCATATGTTCGATTAGTTTAATTATGGGTAGTTTTAGAGGAGATATTCGATTAATTTAAAGAATCATAGGAAGTGCAGAGCATATGAACCTTATGGCGGTACCTCGGGGTACCATAGTACCCCGGCTCTCGCACAATGTCCGTGATGCAGTCATTTTAGTCTGTTGATGGTCGGCGATGCGGCAATCAACTCATCTCGATGAGCTGTACACGATGCACCACTACGGTGCATACGAGCGTTCAGGGTTTCAGCGCAATCATCCTCGCTGCGTTTCGACATCGTGGAGTGGCACTGATTTCGGATTTATTGGTACCCCAGTCGCGGAGTTTAAGTACACCCCTGTAAAAAATAGTGTCCCAGAAATAAAATATTTAATTGCCTCGGCCATTTTGTATTATCTGGTACCTCGGGGTACTGCCATAAGGATCATATGTACAGCAAGACGATGCAGGTAGCGATAGAAAACGGACAGTGTGATACAGTACTGAGAGAAAACTATTTCTGGTAATGGAATGTTACCTTGATTTTGGGGGAAAATTGTTCAGTTTCTGATATACGAAAAATTCGGGTTACGGATTGTTCTCGGGAACCTAACCCTACCGTAACCCGGGGACTGCCTATATCCCGGTTTACGTAAGGGATGCGTTCCTGAAAGTTGCGACGACAAATATCGAAACGACGTAAATCAAAGCCAAAGTAGTCTGCACCCGACGAGCAATAAACAAAGATAACGGAGGGTACGGTGACACTGCTCATGCACGCATCTTCATCCTAGACGTGCCCACAACATTATATTAAATTTACCCCTTTTGGCATCCTCTTTTCTAACACCGTTTGAGACGAGGCTCAAAAGAAAGCTGTCTCTGGTGTGGACCAATCAGTTTCAAGGACAATGCATATATTATCAGAGTATGTTTGTGGTTAATGCAGACATGATTCCTTGTAAAAAGTTTCAGTTTGGTGTTTTATCATCTTAACACCTGTTTTGTTGCCAGAAAAAAGGGGAAAAACCTATTATCATTACATTAAATTGCTAAAAATACTGCACTTTAACAATAGTGTACAGCAGTAAACTTTAACACATTATACAGGGTACAAAAAGATACAGTACACTCTCAAAAAGTCTACTAAATACTGCATATAAATACAGTAACATTTATTTATGCGCGACGCTAAATAGTTGGTGTACAGGGTAGGTGGAGGCGAAGGCTGAGAGGCGACGGATCCGAGAAAGGACGATGCTGTCATCGACGTGTGGGTTGAGGCGACGTAAATCAGGTGCCGGGTGTTAATAAAGTGACGACGTATTTGTGAACGACTTAAAGGGGGAAACGTAAATTGGGGGTATTACTGATGAAAAAATAAGAATAGGCTTTATCCTTTCTGGAAATAGCATAGGTGTTGATACAGCTAAAAATTACATAGATATCGGAGTATAGCTGTTTTTAACATGTTTAAAATAAGAGATAGTGTGACAAATACTTAAATATTAAAGATGAACTTGCAAAACTCAATAGCTAAGCCAAGGAGCTCTTAAAGTACATAAACTCTCTCTGCTTAGTTTAATCCTGACAATTCTCAATACTGACAGCACTTGGTGTGCATCACTTGACGTGTTTGCGTGTGTCACCCCTTCTCCCCCTCTGCACCCACGAGCTGGAGGGGCAGGGTTCCCTCCACCAATCACCGCTGCCTAGGGGCACCGCAGTGGCGAGATGTTTTTTCCCTCAACTGGTATGCAGGAGGTCGTGGGTGTCATCGCCACCCTGATGCCTGTATATTTTGAGTTTGCATGTTCCACCGTGGTCGTGTGGATGTTTCTCCAGGTCCTCCGGTTTTGCCCTCTACATTTGTAACATTCGCTTGGAGTATTTGACTGTTATATATATATATTCCCACGTGTGATGATATGCCACTTTGATGAGTTATCATGTGTGGCCAGGTTGCCTCTTAAAAAACGCTAATAGCTCAGTAGGGTTTACCTGGTAAATAAAATAGTGGGGTTTAACTTCCATTTAGCAGCATTGTGAGCCGGGATCTCGTCCCTAATGGTTCACCTTTGTGGTGGGTGGGAGAAGGTAGTCTTCTCAAAACCTACCTCTTACGTGTTTCGTGTCACCTTAAATAAAACTAACACCATCATATAGACGAGAAAGACATCGTTTAATTGAATCCACAACTATGAATGGACTCTCAAGACCTAGTTTTTACTCTTTCAGAAAACTGAAGGAAAATCAATAATGACGTTGAGTACAGCACGCAGATGGCCTGTTACAGAGTCAATGGTCACTGCCTTTTTGCTGCCATCTACCACCCTAACATAGCCTAGCCACCTTCATCAGACAAGGCCTAAATGACTACTATGCTTTCAAGTCCACCACCACCACAATAACTGTCACAGTTGGTCACGTGACGTTCATCAACGTATATAAGCCCCCAAATAAGAAATGGCCATCACCACCACAATTGCAGCAGCCACTCACCTGGCTATAGATTAGGGTGACTTCTATAGCCACCACACACAACGAGGCTTCTCAGACAACAAGGAAGCCAGAGAGACGGTTGAGTAATGGTCGTTGGCATAAAGCACATTCCTTGTACATACGACTCAAAACAGCTGGGCACATTTCACTCAAGAAAAAATAAAAAGGACTCTAACCCAGAAGTATGCTTCATCACAAAGACAAGAATGGACAGCTACCATTCCTTTCTTCACAAACAATTACAGGCAATTTCCCAAAGGGCCAACGCAGACCGAGAGTCACACACATTGGATTGATACCGTTCATAACTTCAAAACCATGACTGCGTTGGAACTTTCAGAAGGCCAAATGGCCAGGAAACAGAAACCAAAGTACATCTGGATAAACTGAAACGATAGCCTGAACACTTAAAATATGCATACAAATTCTGACTTCTGCCACAAAAAAATGCATCCAGAGCGCAGCTATACACCAAGATAGCAACCAGAAACAGAAGAACTCTTGAAAGAGTTAATCATAACTGGTGACTTAGATAAGGGCACCACATTGCTGGGGTCCCTGAACTCTGCATGAAGAAAATGTTGAAAATAAGTTGTCACTGCAGACTTGCGCTTCACTCAATCCAGCCGCAAATCCTAGCAGCTCTTCTGGAACCTAAGTGCCTTAAGATCAACAGAGCAAAAACCAAATTTGAAGTTTTCGTGACTGCAATGATCCATCCTCTTTGGTTCTTTCGGTAAAGTCACGTAGGTAAAAATAAAATAAAGTTAAAATTAAACAAAAATTAAAACAACTAAATCAAATCATGACGTTTTGGAGGCAAAACAAGCTTCCGTCATCAGGTGTAACTGGCACAGCAAAATTACTGTAGATAACTGGCACAGAAAAATTACTGTAGGTAATTTTGCTGTGCCAGCTACACCTGATGACAGAAGCTTGTGTTGCCTCCTGAACGTCGTGATTTGATTTAGTTGTTTTCAATTTTTGTTTCATTTTAACTTTATTTTATTTTTACCTACGTGACTTTACCGAAAGAACCAAAGAGTATAGAGCATAAAAACACTAAAACCACAGCTATTGCTGTGGCTTTCCGCATCCTTTCCTGTTTAAAGACACCATTATTTGACAAGTTCAAGCTCACTAAAAACTGGTGCAGAGACAACTTACATTGAGTCAACTACCACAAGCAACAGATCTAACCAGACCATACAATGCTGCTAAAGGGGAAGCAGCCCTCAGGGCCCCACAATCCACCAATACATTATGGTCTGTTCCTAAATAACCTGGGACTATATGGACACTAGACAAACCCAAGTGTTTGGCTTGACTGCCTGATAGGACTGGGAGTTGCAATACTTGTGGTCCCCACTGTGCCAATTTGCTGGGTCTTTGCCGCCTGATGAACTGCTCACTGTTATGAGCATTGCTCCTCTGCCCTCCATTGTTATTGGAGGATGACTACCTCTAACTGCCCATAGAGGTCGATTTTAACACCATTGATACCAGTTATTAGTACGTCCATCAGCTCCACTTCTTGCTGTACCACATCAGTCCATCTCTTCTCTAGCCTGTGCCGTGCCCATTTAGCCCCCTCTATTCGGGCCAAACAGAAGCCGTTTGGGCATGGGGTGGCTGGCCATGTGGGCTTCATGACCCAGCCAATGCAGCATCACCTGCGATAGGAGATGCAGCATGTGTAGAAAACTCAAATAAATAAAATAATGTGTGTATCCAGTCACGTGCGTGGAAAACTCGCAACCAAATTTCACTCACATTTGTGTGTGGGGGGGGGCATGTGTCGAGAAGCAACAAATATGACAAATTTCATCGATATGTTTTTTTTCCTGACTGCTATGATGAAAAAATGGCAATTTTTGCTTCAAGGACTGATGCACCATAATGAATGAATGCACAGTTTTCTGGTAAGCGGGTGTGGGATTGGCCAGGAGGTTCCATTGTGATAAAATGCCATAACGTATGATGAGGGAGAGGGTGGTTAGGGGTGGTGAAGGAAGAATGAGTTTGTGGGAGAATAGGAGGAGCAGCAGATGGGGAGGATTCTATAAGAGTGGAGAGAGGATATAAGGGGGGCTGGGAGAAGGTATAGGGTCGTTTTGGTGGTGAAGCTTCCTACGAGTATGTGTGTTGCCTGAAATTATGTCTACTTACCATCAGGTCAATGGAGTTGAAACATCTTTGGAACCACTCAGTGTCGCTGAACTGATTTATGAATGTAGGAAGTGAATGAGCGACTTGTGGCCTTGGTGAACTTAGAGATTGGGGTATAGGCGGGGTTAGTGGTGTGGTAGATGCCACATTCTCTCTGTGGCGTGGTATTGGCGGCAATTTCCTTACAGGATTTTTAAGACAATTGAGCTGGACTTTAACATTTGAAGTGCCATCTTCCACCGTGATGGCAGCCTGCAAAGGCAAAACAGATAGGTGAGGTAACAATGTTGATGTCATTCACTTGTTTGAGTAATAGTTTAGTCTCATGACTTACAATTCATCCCAATATCTTAGCATCTGCATTAGGATTTATTTTACACTAACATGTGCAGTCTATTCCCCTTCACCATGGTGAGGTGTAGGTTGTTAATCTCTCTAGGGGTGTTACCTTCAAGGAAATTATGGTTTAATGTTATCACTGTGATGAAACTGATATATTTTTTGCAATAACCACAAGTTTAAGTACATTTAACTCTTTACGCATACAAGCTAAAACATAATAGGGTTTTTCGTGTTTTTAATTTGCATTAAATTAGCACTATAACAGTAAACTAGCTTATTACATTTTCCCATTTCAGCAATGTAAAACGTAATCATTGTCCTTTTTGTATATAACTCACGTTTTGCTTATTGTTACTGCACCTCAGATTAGCACGGTTGGCTACTTATGGTGCAAAAGAAGTTCAACATACATACATGCTTTGGAGGGCCATTAACTAAAATCTAAAACTAAAATATTTTTATTTTACCAGGTAAGACCCACTGAGCTATGTAGCTCTTTTTGGGAAGCGACCTGGGTATGAATGATAGCTCAACGAAGTGGCTTATCACGTGGACATTTATAGCAACCAAATACTCAAACGAATGTTGATTCTAAATATGTAGGGAATAACAGGAGGACCCGGATAAAAATCCACGCGACCATGGGGAGAACATGCATACTCCAAATATACAGACGTCAGAATCGGGATTGAACCCACGACCCATTGCATACAAGGCTAGGGAGTTAACATCTCGCCACTGCGGCACCCCAACTTTAACAAGAGCGGGCAAGCAGATTGATACAAGACGAGCATTCTGCACTGACACAATTACAGGCCAATTCAAGATACAATTAATTCGACGTGGGTAGAGTGGTGTATGGCTTTTACATTGCCAAATCAAGACAGCACGTGAATGATCTAGTGGAGGAAATGCAAGGCTATTTTGAAGCAAATTCGCATGTAGGTACATTGGGGCAAAGGCACAGGAGGACAGGCCAAAAGCACAGACGACCTTAGCAAGCGATCGTGCCGAGATCAGGAGGAAGCGTGGGCAACTAAGTCAAAAAGGAAGCACGTTACAAACGAGCATGCCAAGATTAAAATCACCCCTACAGGATGAAATCAAACACACGCACAGGTGAAGTGAACAGGCTGCCATAAAGATTAGGCACACGCAAGCTGCCTGAGGACAATCCAAGGGTGTCGTGGCAGCACAAGTATATGCATGCGAGGGCACGGCTGCAGGGAGAGCACGAAAGTCACGTGCAGAGTGATGTTGGGCAAGCAAGGCCCCATGTGATAGAACCTCAGCAGGGACTAGAAAGTGCTTTGTGCACTGACGAGAGATTAGCAAGGTCCTTGGCCAACATATCAAAGAGCAGCGTGAGCCCAGGTAAAGTGGCACAGCCAACCAGGTAAGTATGTAGAATTTATACAATATGTTTGACATTGGCAGTACAGTATGATATCAGCCAGTTGGTATTCTTATCCCTAGATATCGTGTTCATGCAAATTGGTTCTCAAAAGCGATGGGGAAAATCAGAGCCAAGCTGGAATACAGCCAGGCAGTGAGCCAGCACCAACATTTAGCCAAGCTCTGCGGTTCCATATATATTAAGATGTGTTCAGACAATGAATTAGTGTTTAGACATGAATGATAAGTAATATATAATAGTTGATATGTTAATGGGAATTGTATTAATTTTTCAAACAATAAATGGAAATGCTTTCAACAATGTTGTTTATATATTTTAGGAGAATAAGAAAATAATTTCCATTCATCGGGTTCTTAAATGCCTCAGCAACTGCATTATATCACAATCACAATTAATCCTGATTTCCCAACTTGCTTAAATTTTTTTATTGTAATTCATGTTATGTTCATATATTACATGTTGAGCTGTTTTAGACTTAGATACTGATTCCTTGTATTGTGTTTTTCAATTTGTTTATTTAATGTACCTTAGACCTGTTTACTGTCATGATGTTTACTGTTCACGATATGCAATTCTTATTTTTGAACTGTAGCAGTCGAGCCTTTCACTCTTCCGATGTTGTAATCTGCTTGTTGTACAGATGTTTATTATGATGCGGAATAAAGCGTTTAATTTGTTGAACTCCAGCCTTCGCTATTATGATATATTTATTTTACCTTTGCCTCCCTTGAAAATGACGCCTCTGGTCTCAACGGGCAACTTACCTTGTTTTTAACATTGGACTCACCTCTTTGGGTTCCAACTGTACCTCAGTGATAAACACCGGTTCTTTAAGTTTCACTTTGGCAATCTTGTCTATAATGTTGGCAGTCAACACACTTGCTTCCTCTTCCCTGTCATTCGCTACGTTTCTCACACTTGGGCTCCGATATCGATCAATGCATGTTTCGGACTCCTCCAACATGAGGAAAAAACAAATAACAGACGAGACACCTTCAGGCATTTGAGTAAAAGTTGGCAGATAGATATTTCAAAAATATTTGGGGGTGCTGAACAGGATGAGAGCTCATTTTGCATACAGTTAAGGTAAAACTATTCAAGCACTATTTTCCCCATGCTTTTGGGGTGTTGAATCTAAATGTCGTGCCGATTAAATCTGAGGGCAAAGTTTTGACCTTCAAACTGAACCCAAAAAAAGGGTCACCAACAAAGAGAAGCAGCTGAATTACCCTAAGACGATGACGCTTTGTAATTTGTTAATCGCTACTTTAATAAGGATGCAGTTATACAGTGTCATCTAGAACGTTATGTTTCCAAGCTGAATTAACTACAAGGCCACAATATAATACCAAATAGTAGTTATTCAAGGACATTTAGTCTTCTATTGATTAATGTTCAAACATGGTTCAAAGTAATATTTGTTACCACTTCTCTTTTGCATTACTTTTATCTGACTATAGTTCGTCAAAATAGAAAACAATTACTTTGTTAATAAACTTCAAGACTATGTATATACTAGATATACATAACTTTGGTACAGAGCCTTGATCAGTATCAGAATGACTCTGATATACATGAATCCCGAAAGTCTTGTGAAACAAAAAGACTAGATTAATGTTACATTTTGGAACGTTAAAAGTTAGCTACAAAAGCATTAACAAATGGAATGAGTGACAAAGATGTCTCTAGTTACAGTATATCGTAAATCATCAACCTACAATAAGAACACATGTAAACATACTTTCTCATAAAAAGGAAAACCCAACTGTTCCCTTCAACACAACATTGTCGCTAAATGGAAACTTTTTAGGTACACAAGTCAACTGGAGGTGACAAAACTATGATATCATTGAAGACATGTAAGTTATGTTAACATCAAGTATCGTATTCCATTCGTTCATCATTGTTGCAAGTCTCAACGGTGGCTCTGCATTTGTTAACTGCTGTACACAGCTGACAAGCCTTCGTATACTTTGCAGCATGCACTCATGCACCTTGTGGTAAGGTTACATCGTGTTTTAATCCGAAGGGCTCCTAGAGGGAGAGTCCCACGGTTTCCTGGTGCCAGGAGATTGGCCGACCTTCACAGGACAGGTTACATTGCGGTGCCCCTAAATTGGATTAAAATTGTATGGGCGCATGAAGGTTCCCTGGGCCAACCGCAATGAGGTACAACTCACAGTGGAGAATGGAGGACGGAACATTGAGCGGGAAAAGCGCGGGAGCCCTTCCAGACAAAGGGGCAATGGGGGGTCGCGGCCGTCCACCAGCCACAGCCGCCACCGCAGCACTCAAAAACGAACGGAGGGTGGCATATTAAGTAGCAAAAGTGCAGGAGCCCTTCCAGACAAAGGGGCCACGGGGGGTCGCTGCCGCCGCCCGCCCCACCGCAGCACTCGAAGGGGGAAAGAGGGCTGGCATGTAGGCAATGGGTCGAGGCGTAACGGAAAATAACACTCCAGGTGAAGGTGGGGCATCAGTTTAAAATTGAAAGGTAGGCGCGTGATTGGCTGCGTGGCGCGGCGTCCCCCTGGGCCTTTGAAGTTTAGAGCATAAAAAGAGCAGCCAGGGGACGATTTAGTGAGTTGTCTACAACCTCCGGGCTGTCACGACCCACTACCTGCCGTCCTGCCTCTTCAAGCCGCTCACAGCATCCGTGTGATGCCACCGAGTGCTGCTGCGAGACAGTGATAGGTCAAGCCTTCTCTCGTCCTCCTCCCTCCGACTCTTTCAGCGTCCGTGGGACGCCACGAGTCCAGCTTCGAGGTACGTGGTAGGACATTTGTGTAACTGGGTTCATAGGCAGAGTTAGGCTAGGCTCTCGCAAAATATTCCTCCTCCAGGTAGTGTGTATTGGCGCCATGAATAAACTTTAGTTCAGAATATCGGTGCAGTGTGATTTCTGTGTGTGTGGGTAGAGCCTCTGCGTGGTGTCTGCGATTTGTATGGTGTACGCGAGAGCGAGCGTGGGGGTAATTTGAGCATGCATGAGATAACCCCGGTCAGCTGGTGAGCCACCTGAGTAGCGATGTCCCTCAGAGAGGGCGCTGGCGCGGGGAGGGCTGATCAGTCGATCGGCAGGGGCCCGGCGTGAGGCGGTAGACGAGGAGGAGGGGGGAGTGGAGGGGGTGGACGTCGCGCCCCACCTACTCATGGGGAGCAGGGAGGTGGATGTCGGCCTCCACAATATGGTGTCAGAAGTGGGAAAACCCCCCATGCCTCCAAGCGAGAAAGGCGCCCCACCCCAACCTGAGGTAATATACGTATTCACTGGGCAAGGGATTCCGTCATGGTAATCGTTTGCCCGGAACCTCACGTACGCTAAAGATATTAATGGCTGGACGGATGCGCAAGCGTTACAACAGCTGAAAATTCATTTGGATGGGTGGGCAGCCGACTTTGTAGAAGCGCTACCCTCAAGCCCGCAAGCGCAGTGGGGGAAACTAATACGCCGACTCGACCAACGCTTCAGCGCACGCAATGTAGGCGGCATTAGATGCTCGCCACCGCCAGCCCGGCGAGGATCTCCTCCGCAACTACGCCGAGGACATGCGCTCGCTAACGCAGAGTGCACACCCAGGGTACGTGGCCAAAATCATTGAGGACCTCGCCGCTGAGAAGGTCCAGCGATATTTGACTGGCACCTCGTGATGGCAGCCAGATGTCAGCTGCGTGCACGTGCATGCGAGAGACTCGCAAATGAGTGCGCGCAGTTCCGAGGACTGGGACGGGAGCGCGCCATCGCAAGGAGGAGCTCGCCTGAACGGTGAGGGGGGCGAGGGAGCCTCTGGGACCCATGGAGGCAGCCCCGGGATGGGTGACAGGGCTACAGACTGGCATCGGGGATATAGCCGGCCATGTGACCCATTCACGCGGGGAGGTGACCCACGTATGCGAGCAGGTGACCCAAGCACGCGAGGAAGTGACCCAAGTACGCCGGGAGGCGAACCGAAATATAGACAAGCTGCGGTCAAGTGGCGACAGTCCGGGCCGAGGTAGGGGGGCTAAATGGACAGGTGTCCCAAGTAGAGTCGGTTTGGGCAGATGCGTAGGGGGAGGGGGAGTGGGCAGGGGGCCTCCTACGGAGCCGCCACCCTCCCCCGGGTGTGTAATCTATGCGACCGTTGGGGCATCTCGTGAGAGACTGTCCCCAGATCGCCCGCGCTAGACACGCGCCAGGGTTAAACGCCATCACCCCCTAGAGAGTGGGCCAACTAGGGGTGCAGTCGACACGGTCCCAAACAAATAGAAAATAATAATAATGGTGAGCGAGCGACCCCCACGCAGATGCTGACAACAACACCCAAAGACGCGGCGACTGCGGGCGACTGGCTGCTGGAGCTGGTGACGGGAATCACAGGGGCAACGTCGCTGGTGGAAGGGCAGGTAAATGGACGGCGTATTGTTGGACATGGGGTAGGTAGCCTCGCTTGTGAGCGCAGCACACTGCAACGTGGTCGGGGTTGACGCAGGCCGCCTACAGGCCCCGGACCGCGCGCTGCACACTGCGAGTGGAGCTGGGGTGGGACTGCTGGGGAGCGTCACCCTAGAGGTCTGTCTCGGACACCAGGTGTGTGACCAAGAATCCTATGTGTGGAGGGTGTTGTGCCACAAGTGTATTGCAGGCACCGACCTCCTGGAAAAGTTGGGGCTAAATGTACATCCCCGCCAGCGATGCGCCACCGTGGAAGGCAGCGGATTCCGTTCCTGGGACAAGAGCCGGATCGCCCCCGCTTCACACCCGTGGCCGCTATCCTGGTGTCGGCCGTCAGCATCGGGCCTCTCGCGGAGATGCTGGTACCAATGGCAACACCCTCCGCACACCGACCATTGGGTGAGGTAATGCTGACTCCGCACCCGGAGTTGGCGGCACGGTACGGGGTTGTGGGGTCAGCCACGCTAGTAAATGCGGACGAAGGCTGACTGCTTATGCAGGTATTTAACTCCCACAGTACCCCAGCAACACTGCGGTGACGCACCACGGTAGCCAAATTGACACAGGTGCCGCCTGACCCATTAAACTCCCCGCATACCGAGTGGGTGCACCCGAATGGGCCCAGATTAAAGAGGCGGTCACGGATATGCTCCGCGATAACATAATCCAGCCCTCAGCGAGACCCTGGTTTGCCCTGGTTGTATTGCTGATGAAAAAGGATGGGTCGACCCGGTTTTGTGTTGATTATTGAAAGCTGAACACAGTTACCGTCAGTGACGCCTTCCCCATCCCCCGCATCGACGACACTTTTGACAGCCTCGTGGGGGCGCGGTATTTTTCCACCCTCGATCTAGCGTCCGGGTACTGGCAGGTGGAAATGGCGGAAATACGTGCCTGCAGAAACGCGTGCGTGCACGCCTCCGTGTTTGTTTTTGTGGTGGTGTAATTTGAGCAAGCATGAGATAACCGCGGGCGGTGGTGAGCCAGCCAAGTAGCGATGTCCCTCAAAAAGGGCGCTGGCGCGGGGGGGGGGGGGCGATCACTTGATCGGCGGGGGCCCGGCGAGAGGCGGCCGACGAGGAGAAGGGGGGAGTGGAGGGGGTGGACATCGCGCCCCGCCCGCTCACAGGATGCGGGGAGGTGGACGTCGGCCTCCACAAGGACTCTTCCAGTCTCCACCTCCTGGTCTCAGGAGAGGCCAGCTCTGGGTATGCCGTGTGTGTGCTTGAAGCCACACTGCTGCCTGATCATGTGCGTGTTTGATGCCCATGGTAATCAGGAAAAGAAATTCGATTGTAATTCTCATAATGCCCCATGGTATTAAGGGCAGTCTCCAAGCACTATAAATATCTCTCTGGCCACTCTTATTCATTGCGTTATGCAGAAAGGCCTTTACCCGAAACTTCCCACAGTGTTATTGACAAAAGTGTTGAGTATTTTTTTTTACGCAGCATCACATGTTTTGTTTTATGTAAATGATGCACACAATTAAAGCACATATAGTGAGAAAATACACATACCTTACATTTTGTAGATTTTTCAAAAATGGTGAATGAACCTCCAGCATTTAAAACATGTGAAATGTTTTTCTTAACTGAGTTCAAGTCGAGAACTCCACTGTCTCCATCGAACAGTTCCTGCTCCATAAAGAGATGAACAACATTACCAAAGGAACTGCACTGTTCAGTGATACACCTAAATTGAATGAAAATATACTTTCACGTTATCTCTATTCACATCCTTCAAAATAAACTATATTCTAAATAAATTTTGACTTAAAACTTTCGTGACTGCAGGAATTAATATTCTTTGGTTCTTTCAGTAAAGTCACGCAGATAGAAAAAAATACAAATAAAGTGAATAAAAATACCACGACGTTTAGATCGCAACACAAGCGGTCGTCATCAGGAAAAGGGGTTAGCCTCTAAAGGCAAACTGTAAAGGTTTGGAGATGGACATAGCCCAAGTGTATCAGCAGCACCAGCAATGCCAATGCAGCAACAATGCTAATGCAGCAGCAATGCCAATGCAGCAAAGGGCTGCCAGGAAATCAATGCACCCCGCTCCACACACCACACTGCTGACAGTGGAGGTTTATTGACAAGAAAACACAAGTCAAGTCATGCCCTAAAGTGGTTCGATGACATCTTTCCAATGATTGTTGTCTATAACGATCCTCTCGGTTGAAATTGTGTCTATGTCTGTATATATGGATGGCTTCATGAACGAATCTTTGTTGATAGCCAGTGGGCTTGCAGAGTACCATCATCTTAGAGAAATCAATTTCGTGTGAGCCAGCCGCAGCTGATGACTTCCTGCGACCACCTTCAGTTCCCAGATCCGGTTGGCTATGCCGCACGCAGCGGTTCAACTTAAGGTAGGATTGCCTCTGAGCTTCCCTTAGAATTGTCATTCAATGGAAGGGCAGATGAGAATATCCCGACACTTTATTTGATTCTAGATTTGAAGCTTTCGTCACTGAAAGGATTCATACTCTTTGGTTTAATAAAATAAATGAAAACTAAATTAAGTCACGACGTTTCGCTATGTTTGTCCCCACCTGATGACGGACGCTTGTGTTGCGCCCGAAACGTCGTGATTTAATTTAGTTTTCATTTATTTTATTGATTTTTTTACCTACGTGACTTTACCGAAAAAAACAAAGAGTACTTTATTTAATGTTTCATCCTATAACCTATAAGCGCTAACCATTGGCAAGTGACACAATTGCAGTGGGCTATCACGCTGTGATTAATGCACACATTTTTTGTCGCAGCCAAATCAATGAATGGCCTATTCAAAGGTGAATAAGTATACAGTTGTATGGCCTCAGTTCGACAACACCACGGACTCCAAGAAAAAAATCACTTCACAGTTACTATAAAGTATTACCTTAAATTACAAATGAGAAAGTTGTACAAACAATTACCGTAGGTTTCCAATAAAGCAGATTCATATACTGCCAAAATCCCTCTTCTTGCACATGTTCCATCTCCAAATGCGATTGTTTGCCTTCAAGTTGCCCTTTTGTAATTAGAGCTATATCCTTATCACGATGATCCAGAAGATTCATCACCTGTGTGAATAAAATGACACGTCAATAAAGGTAATGAAAATATAAATCAGTCATTATTCTCATCCCAACTGACATCTTAGGATACTTAGCATTCACAGTGAATTATACTAGAACTGACACACCAAAGGAGAGCATGAAATATTCTCTTTCATAATTGATGTTGGATTATGCCATGCAATGCTCAAACCAGATCAGTATCCACCACGCGACATAGCCACATTGTGACGTGGTGTATAAGTATTTGACAATGCACCAATTATGATTGTTTCAGCTCACCGGTAAGCTGAAAACCAAACCCCACAACCAAACTTAGCAATTAAATAAGTTTCGTTTGAAACATAACTATAAGTCATTGTTTTAAAAAATCTACGTGTTAAAGAAATATTATGGCATATTTCTTGCTATGATTGATTATATGTCCAAAAACTCGACGACATGCTGTATTTAATAAACAATATATCCTACATTTTCGACGAAGTGATTAATATGTCCTTAATTATCGACATTAAATCATTTTCTAGAATAACAATTAGGTATGATAATCGACATTTAAATGCGAATATTGTTTGATAATTTAATATTATCTATAATCAAACATGTTTAATTGTTCATAATAGTTTTATAGGTTATATCGCATAAATATAAATGTGTCGTTAAACCCACGACCACTCAATAAACCAATACCTACTATACCAGGGGTCGGGAACCTATGGCTCGCGAGCCAGATGTGGCTCTTTTGATGATTGCATATGGCTCGCAGATAAAACAAAATATTCTCACTTGTTTTAATCCATCCATCGATTTTTCACTGCGCATGTCCTGTTCAGGGCTGCAGGAGCAATTGTCCATTATTTTAATTGGATGATACTGGCCTACGTTTGCCGTTGCTGGGTAAAACAGGTAAACGCCCCTTTTTGAATCAGTCTGAGACTGCGTCTGCTCGGTCATTAGCTCAAAGCTAACCCTTCGACGAAGAAGATGGCGAAAAGAAAAAAAAGACGACGAGTATCGTACATTTCAGGACGAATGGACCGAAGAATTCGCCTTTGTGGAGAGAGCGGGTTCTGCGGTGTGTCTAATTTGCAATGACAAAATTACATCGTTGAAACGGTCGAATGTAAAGCGGCACTTCGACACGTGCCACGCTACCTTTGCATCAAAATACCCTGCGGGAGACAGCAGAAAGAAAGCGTGCCAAGAGCTTCTGAGCAGGGTGCAAGCTAGCCAGCAGCAACTCCGCGTATGGACCCGGCAAGGTGACTATAATTCGGCTAGCTTTGCTGGTTCTTTAGCAATAGTGAGGAACGGAAAACCATTCACAGATGGCGAGTATGCTAAAACGTTCATGCTGGATGTAGCCAATGAACTTTTTGATGATCTTCCGAACAAAGACAAGATAATCAAACGGATACAAGACATGCCTCTGTCGGCAAGAACTGTTCATGATCGTACCATCGTGATGGCAAACAAAGTGGAGGAAACGCAAGTGAAGGACATAAATGCAGCGCCGTTCTTTTCTCTGGCTTTGGATGAGTCAACAGACGTGAGCCATTTGTCGCAGTTCAGCGTGATTGCAAGATATGCTGTTGGTGACACACTGCGCGAAGAAAGTCTTGCTGTTCTGCCATTAAAAGGGTCCACAAGAGGTGAGGATTTATTCAAGTCTTTCATGGAGTTTGCTCAAGAAAAAAGTCTACCTATGGATAAACTTCTCTCAGTGTGTACTGATGGTGCTCCGTGTATGGTGGGGAAAAACAAAGGATTTGTGGCGCTTCTCCGTGAACATGAAAATAGACCCATCCTAAGTTTCCATTGCATTATACACCAGGAGGCACTTTGTGCTCAGATGTGTGACAGGCAGTTTGGCGAAGTGATGTCGCTGGTCATTCGTGTGATCAATTTTATTGTTGCCCGAGCCTTAAATGATCGCCAGTTTAAAACACTGCTGGATGAAGTTGTAAATAACTATCCTGGTCTGCTTTTGCACAGCAATGTGCGTTGGTTGTCAAGAGGGAAGGTGCTTATCCGTTTTGCGGCTTGCCTGAACGAAATCCGGACTTTCCTTGAAATGAAAGGCGTCGGGCATCCTGAGCTAGCCGACACCGAGTGGCTCCTCAAGTTTTACTATCTCGTAGATCTGACTGAACATCTGAACCAGCTCAACGTGAAAATGCAAGGCATTGGAAATACAGTGTTATCCCTTCAACAAGCTGTATTTGCTTTTGAAAACAAGCTGGAGCTTTTCATCACGGATCTTGAAACAGGTCGTTTACTACATTTTGAAAAACTGAGCCAATTTAAAGATGCATGCACAGCAAGTGAGCCCATTCAAAACCTTGATCTCCACCAGCTAGCTGGCTGCACATCCAGTCTCCTACAGTCCTTCAAAGCACGCTTTGGAGAATTTCGTGAGCACACTCGTCTTTTTAAGTTCATCACCCATCCAAACGAGTGTTCACTGAACACAGCCGACCTGAATTACATCTCTGGTGTCTCCGTCAGAGATTTTGAAGCAGAAGTGGCTGACCTGAAGGCCTCAGACATGTGGGTGAATAAGTTCAAGTCACTGAATGAAGATTTGGAAAGAATCACACGACAGAAAGCGGAGTTGGCGAGCAAGCACATGTGGACAGAAATGAAAAAACTCCAACCCGAAGACCAGCTGATTCTCAAAACTTGGAACGCGCTTCCTGTCACATACCACACACTGCAGCGTGTGAGTATTGCTGTATTGACCATGTTTGGATCTACGTATGCATGTGAGCAGTCATTCTCACATCTTAAAAACATTAAGTCCAACCTACGATCACGTTTAACGGATGAAAGCCTCAATGCTTGCATGAAGCTTAACCTCACCAAGTACCAACCCGACTACAAAGACATCAGCAAATCCATGCAGCACCAGAAGTCGCATTAATGGTGAGTGTTATAACAACATTATTTAAAAGAATAAATTCAGAGGCTTATTATACTGACATTTAGTTGAATTCACTTTTAAAATATATTATATGGCTCTCACTGAAATAAATTTCCAAATGTTTTGCTTTCATGGCTCTCTTAGTCAAAAAGGTTCCCGACCCCTGTACTATACCCACCCAGGAATGGCTGTCCCTAACGCTTGTGGCATCACTCCACATCGACCAGTCCCCCTCATTAATATTCATGAGCAGGTGACGTCCTCCAAATGGACACCCCCCCACCCCTCATTCATAATTATGAGCGGGTAACGTCACTCAATATGGAGTACTCCTCCCCCCCTCACCAATAATCATGAGCAAGTGATGTCACTCCACATCGAACAGCCCCCTCATTAATAATCATGAGCAGGTGACATCCTCCAAATGTACACCACCCCCCCCCCCATTATTATTACCTACTATAATGAGCCAAGAATGTCTATGTGCAACGCTCGTGACGTCACTCCACGTCGACCAGCCCCCCTCATTAATAATCATGAACCAATAATAGGTTTTTACCCTTTTAGCTGGCACAAAAACTGACACCTTTATACAAGGGATCATGTTTGCAATAACCACAACACAAGCAGTCAAAAATGCAAACAAAAAGAAACAACTCTGATAATGATATGCACTGTCCTTGAATTTGATTGGTCCACACCCGAGACGGCTTTTCTTAGAGCCTAGTCTCCACTGGTGAGGGACCAGATGACACCATAAGGCTGCTGTTGTATACGCCGGGTCTTGAAAATTTAATAACAATAATTATTATTTTAATGAAATTTTCAAAAATGCGTAATTGTACGAAATTAGGTTAATTTATGCTAATCAGAGAGATAATCGTATTAATTTATTTGAATGTATACGATTATGCCAATGAGGGCAGTTATGATGATTAGGCTCAACCTCGTTGTCGAGGGTAGTATTATCAATCGGGATAAGACAATTGATCGTATGAAGTTATGCAGGTGTGATGTAAGTATGCTAGATTAAGCTCGGCTTCGTTGTCTAGGGTTGTATTATCAACCGGTATAATACAATTATTCTCGCTTTAACATTTACTGATTATGCCTTAGTGTGTTTATATCAGGTCTCCAAATTAAAATCTCACCGCAGGATACAGTTCTTATTAAGATTATCATGCATGAACTTAGGAAAGAAACACTCAAACACTTCTGTGTTAAGCAATTTTAATTTCTAAACAAAACCTTAACACTCTAATATGCGAACTCTTATGCTTGGAATTGTCAACACAGTACTCCTGGAGATGTTCCCCTCATTGATCCATACATTAAACCCTCAATGGTCACGTTTGTTAACTGGGTAACAGTACAATCGATTACTTCCTCAGAGTACGCGAGCATACACGGCGAGAGGAAAAGTCCTTAAAAATTCATGCAACGATATTCATACGAAGGGCAATAAAGAAACATGTCCCGAAGGCAAGAGTAGTTATCAATCAAATGACCGTATCCACGTAACTCAATGGGCAGCATGTTCTTCATGATCAGTTGATATTTAATGCACCACCTTGGAATGGCAGCCCTTCTTGAAACACAAAGATAACTTTTTGGAACAATCTTATTTGTCCCGATACGCGTGTTGTGTGTCTTCTTTGCCACTTGTTAAATTATTTGCGTAAAGCAGACGCCGGGCGAGGCGTCGTGAGGCTGTGAGTGTGGGGGAGGGTCATACAAACGGCTTCGTTCTCTCTCTTGCTCGGGGGCGGCCACAGTTTCGGTCCACAGCTGGGTGGAAGAGTCGGCACGACGCTCGCCGTCGGTTCGCGATGATCCGTCGTCAGATAGCGCCCGCAGCTCGTCCGCTGGCTGCAGTTCCCCACTCTTGTCTTAGTTCCCAGCTGGTACTGGTCGGTGTGCGTGTGGGTCGAACCCACGGCGCGCTCGCTGGCTCTGATACTCTTGCTCACGGGCGGCTGGTCAGGCTCTTTCCCCTGCTGGATGAACAATGCTTGTCCGCTGGCAGCTGGCACCCTTGCTTGGTGGCGCTGGTGGCGCGACTGCGCGCCCTCTCTGGCTCCGG